GATCGCATAACTTTGACAATTAAGTCGTGTTTCGGTAATTTGGCCATAACTTTGGCTACGGTTATCAGAATCGCAATTATGACCACAATCCGAAAACCTCGTTTCGGCGCGCACGTCGTGGCCACCTAGCTACGCTCAGTGTGTATTTTCATCCTCAAATTCAACTGTTTTCCCTTCCGAATTGCTATTTTAAGTTAATTTTTGCTATTTTTGGTAATATTTCGATTGCATGTTAGGAGATGATTTTTAACCCAATTTGGGCTATATTTTTTGCAGAATACTTATTTTATTCCATATTTTCGTTTGGTGTGATATAATAAAATTCTCTAAATTTTAGAGACATTTTCTCTGTATTTTTTTCAGCGTTAATCTTGTGTTCTTCCCTGTGAATTTGCTGGTAGAACGAGCCTGCAGAATAATCACTATTCTGCCCGGCATCACCTAATCAGTACTCTCCTAAAGACCAGCTATCCAATCCAAGCCAATCCTTTTAACTATGTCTCATTTATTCTTGACAAAATATCATATCATTTTTAGACTACAACAACATAAATTACGTACTCACAATCTCATGGAAAATCAAACGATTTCTCCTTAAAAAATTGAAGAATTCCCTTTGCTTGGCTTTCTATATTAGTAATAAATAATTAATTGGTGGATTCTATTATTTATCACGTTGGAGCAAAATTAGATCAACACCAGTTCGTTTATTAAGAACAATACCCTTATTATTATTATTATTATTATTCAAGTTTTCGTCCCGAGTCAAAGATGCCAAGAAGACGATGTGTATATGACAAAATTATGATTTCCAAGTTTGGAAGAAGATTATGCAAAATCTAGCTTTTTAGATAGAAAATAGTTGCGGAATTTGACAAAGTGCAGAGCACATACTGTTAATTGAAGAAAGAGCAACTGATAAAATTATAATTCTTCTGAAAGTTTTGGATAATATCAAATTCTATTCTACTTTTCTTTTGAAGCTTTTGCCAACTTGTAGTTCGAAAAACTTTTGAATAATTAATAGAGAAATTTAATTAATTTGGTTTTCCTTTTAAGGTTCAAATGAAGTATAAATTGATCTTTAATAGGATATTACATGAACCATTGACATAAGCTTCTCAATAGCTAAATATTTCGTTTTATGGAGTTTATTGACAATAAGTAATATTTTTCAACATACACTCAATTCACATGGATCAAGTGTGCCAGGAATCCTAAAGTGGTTCAAGATTTTGGCTCGCACTATATGCATAGTACCAAAACTTTTAAAAGAATTCGATTATCTATTACACGACGTTATGCACAGGGCTCGTCCTCTTCCTTTCAGTACAGCTACGACTACTAGAGAGCAATCTCGGAAGGCAACACTGCACGGAGTTTACCGATTTTTCCTCTGCTCCTAGCATTCGGCCGGTAGTTTTTTCACGACTATAGCACGAGTTAGCTCTAGCGATATAAATGGTCCACTTTGCAGATTTAGGCGAAGGTTCCACCTTTTCAGCAACTTCTTTTTCATTGCTTGCAGCATTTTGCTTGTCGTCGTCGTCCTGATCACCTCGTAAGCTCTCTCTAAAAAGTTCGGAAAGTTTCTTTCTCTTTTCTGGAGGTGAAGTAGACTCTGCCCGATTCACTCGTGGGGTTCCTGCAGAGAAGTTGTGATGGACCGGAGTACTTCCACGAGATGGGGTAAAATCTGCCAACGCAAAACTATGTTAGAGAGTAATGAGGAGGACAAACTAACAGGCAATTACAAGAGAATAATGCTATTTACAAGAATCTGAAAAAACTGATCTGATAACAAATATGGGTACAACACAATCATGGCATGTGATCAATATAAATTTTTTCCTTCTTTACTACAGTCAAATACTATTTAATCCATCTTACCAAACATGTGATCAATATTGACCACACAGAGAAGGCTACATTTTTATGATTGCATCGACTAGAATGATTCCGATTTCTGTGCATTTTCGGGGGATGATGGAGGAAACTTATAGGTGAAAGGATGATAGAGTTCGTACCTCCGTTGACGCTATAAAATTCTTCACAATCCGACTCTAACCATGGTTGGGAATCGAAGAAGGTTTCATCTTTACTACCTGCAAGATATCGAGATACATTTCAGATCAGCATCAGATATATATATATATATCTCAGTACAAAGAGGATTAACAGTATAATGGAAAACAAAGTCAATCTTACGATAAGTCCAAGAACAACCTCGAGAAACAAATAAGTTACGCGTTTCTAACACTAGCGAATTTAAGTGCACCAAACGGAAGATTTTTTTTTTTTTAGATTAACATTCTTCCAAATCATAAATACACCAATGGAACGTACACCAATAATTTGAAAGAATAGATTCAACAATAATTTGAAATTCCTGCATTTGAAGTAAAGGCATCCTCCACATCTTTAAAAAGTCAATTGCACATATTGTTGCAGCATGCCCCAACCCCCGGCGAATGAAGGCTCCACACATTCCAACAAATATAACACCCATGATCTACAGTTTATCGAGTTGAGAAAATATTTCCAATAAAAGAATACCCTAAATTATAAAATACAAAATTAACAAGAAAAATAAAAAACTTCAAAGTAGCAGAAAATCCAACCCTTCAACTCTTAAGGAATAAAAAAAATATTTAAAAACAAATTAATGGAAATTAATATTGCCTTCTAAAAGCATCTCCAAACTCATTTTTGCATTTTCGTTTATGTACGGGTTGATCTAAATCCAATTTCTGCTTCACTTTAACTATCTATTCTAACAAGAAAAAAGAAAGGGGGAATTGGCCTTCTGATTGCAATGAATGAACTAAATTTATCAGAGAGAAAGTCAAAGTTGACACCTACGCGACCATCCTAATATCTAATCGTTTGATCCATCAACTAGACCTGAGGCGGAGTTCTTCAGTTGAATGAAGAAGAAGATACACAGATTAGTTTATAATTGCATATAAAGATAAATTTCCTCGAAGACATAACAGATAAAGAGGCCACAAAAAATCAAAACAAATTATTAATAATAAGAAACAAATTCGTACCAGAATCAGGGGCGGATAGAGCAGGTGACATCTGGGAATTGAAAGCCACGTCGGCAATCGTACGACGACCTCCGTCGACCTTCTCCAGTTTCTCTTTCACCGGCGATAGGATTAGAAGCTTCTCATTTTTAGACCCGACCGAAAGCTGAAGTTTCATGGCGGATTCAGGGCCTTTGTCCACAGAAATACAGCCACCCATTCTTCCCAAAAAAAAAAAAAAAAA